TAAGGGCGCAAAACGGTCGAGCACATATCGACCGACACCAAACAAATTTTTTGTTTTATAATTCTACAACAGAAAAAAGCCAAAAAAAATGTTCACACATATTATGTATGAAAAAAGTTTATTCAATATAATTCTTACTGATAAACAATATCTTTCTTTTATTCGTTGCGTAAATAAACATTAAGGCGAGTAATTGTCCATGCGCGAAACATGAGAGAGAGAGAGAGAAATTTATTGTTTTTAAAATGAGTTTACTTTATAAAACACAACATGGTATAGTACAAATAAGGCACAAAATACAATAAAATACTAATTATAAAATTTCCACAATTAAAAAAAAATATATCAATTAGCGCAACTGTCCTCAAAAAATTCCTCTATACTATATTAACATTTAGATAATAAAAATTTCTTGATTGCTCTTCGTAATACAAAAATATTGCTTGAGGATCTTATATCGAGTGGTAGGTGATTAAACACTTTCTTATCAGTGTAAATAAATGATTTTTTAATTAATGTAGAAGAGGGAAGTGGAATAACAGAATTTAAACGAGTTTAAACGCTAATTCATGGATATACACGCAAGGAAGTATCAAGATACCATATTTTTGGAACAGAGACCTGCATGATGTACCAAACTTGACCTTGCATAAATATCTGAGTGTTCTCTTTTGTCGAATAAAATTTCTACTGAAATGATGAAGAGAACAGCTACCCCAAAAGGCAATACCGTATCACAAATTACATTCAATCAGGGCCACATAAACACTTTTTGCAATCTTGAAATCTAAATGGTGAGCAACTGATTTTACCGCAAAGCAACCCGATGATATATTTTTGCTTAAACATACAGTGTGTTGCTCAAATTTAAGTTTATTATCAACATAGAGACCTAAAAATTTGTTTACGGTGTCAGAACAAATGCCTTCATTGCCCAGAGTAATGTTGTTTAAAAAAAAAGAGGTTAGTCTTCGTAAATGGGTATATTTATTTAAAAACCCTTAAAAGGGCTACATCAATAAAAGAAACGTTTTCGGACCACACAGTCCATCATCAGGTTTTAAAATCGAAAAAATGCTAGGTCACAATGCCTGAGCCATCAAAATATTAGGGTAAAAACCCTTTAAATTACATTTAGTTATAAAAGATTGTACATTGTGTTGTAAAATAACTGTGATGTTCAGTATTAAATTAAATTTGGCTAGAGGTAACACATGGTTGAAGCGAGTTCCAGAGCCGGTGAGAGAAATTTAATTTAAAGGGTTTTTACCCTAATATTTTGGTGGCTCAGGCATTGTGACCTAGCATTTTTTCGATTTTAAAACCTGATGATGGACTGTGTGGTCCGAAAACGTTTGTTTTATTGATGTAGCCCTTTTAAGGGTTTTTTAAATAAATATACCCATTTACGAAGACTAACCTCTTTTTTGTGATACGTGGTATACAGCCAGCTAGAGGAATTTTTCCTTGTGGATTTTAATGTTGTTTAGATTATTCTTAAAAGAAATTAGTTTGGTTTTTGAAAAATTAAATGTCAAATGATTAGCTTTGCACCACTCTAAGATTTTTAGCATATCACTACTAATAATCTTGTTCAGTACTTTAAAGTCCTTGTTTTGCCATAACATTGTGGTGTCATCTGCAAATATAGTAAACCGGTCATTAATGTCGAGGTTAGTTATGTAGTTAAAATATATCAAGAAAAAGATAGGACCCAAGACAGAGCCTTGAGGTACTCCAAAAATAATAAAGATATTACTAGAGTTGCGCTCATTGATTGATACAGACTGGCATCTGTCTTCCAAGAATGAACTGAACCACTTTAGAGCAGTGCCTCTAAAACCATATCTTTCTAGTTTATTATACAGTTAAAGGCTTTAGAAAGATTACAGAAAATTGCGGCAGCAACATAATCGTTATTATTTAAGTCCAAGTATAGTTTTTCCATGAATTTGAAAATGGCATCATATGTACTTTTTAATCCGAATTAAACCGATAAACCGGAAACTGGAAACCGAATTGGAAGGAAGAAAGTATATTGTGTGTTTGTAAAAAAATCATCATTCGAATTTTTACCAATTTTTCTATAACCTTTGAAAGCGACATTAACAAGGATATAGGATGATAATTAGCAGGTAAATCGTGGTCACCACCTTTATACAAAGGAATAACCTTCGCACATTTTAAACAATCGCTAAAGTGACCCGTTGAAAAAGATGAGTTAAAAAATTCTCAGAACATTATCAGGAAGATGGGATATCATCCCAGCCTGCAGCCATAGGATTTCTAAAGGTCGATTCAAACACATCAGTCCCGGCGCCGAACCGGTCCCGTCTGGTCACATAACTGTTCGTTCGTCTATTCGCACACACCCGAAATGCATCAGCCTTCGGCAACCAATCTGTTGAAAAGATGGAAAGTTTCTCGGATGAAGAATTAGCAATAATTGCTATATGTTTGGACGAGGAAGAAGAAGCGCAATAAAACCAAGCAAAAAGACAGAAATGGATCCATGACGCATGAAAAAAGGGATACCGAAAGAGAATACGTGACACTGTAACTGTATAAAAAACTGCTTCGTGATGATGTAAAATTTCATCAATATTTTAGGATGTTGAAAAATTGCTTTCTTGCCAAATATTATTTTTAACATTAATGTCCATGTATTTTGCCTGCGACAAATTATATAAATCATTATATTTTCTTAAACATTCTATTAACTGTTCGTCAATAATTTTATTTTGATTACTTGTACCGCCCGTCATGTACCCGACAAAACCAAAAAATTCGTCGCTGAGATTATAAAATCGGCCAAGCGATAAACGTGTCGAAACCTGACTGCTGGGAAACTTTTCGTCAACTGATGAATGTGAATGCCGGCGGCAGAATATTTTGTATGACGGATTGTTCGGTTCGGCGCCGGGACTGTGACGAGACGTGACTGATGTGTTTGAATCGACCTTAATGCCTTTCTAATATATTTCCAATATTTTTTTATTTTAGCCGAGTTAGTGGGAAGAAAATAAAAGGAATTTTTAATGTTTACTTCATTTAAAAAATGATTTGGATCAGATGCAGAATTAATTTTTCCAGCGAGTTCTGGACTTACCGATTAATAATATTTATTTAGCTCACTAAGGTTTCAGACTATATCAGTGGTTTTTAGGAATTTTAGCTCTAATAGTATTTATTAACTATACGCCAAGATTCCTTTTGTTTATTATTGGCATTTTCCATTATAGATTTAAAAGATATAAAAAGTAAGAAAACCCAAGTTTTCTTATTTTTCGATTAAGAATTCTTTTTTGAAATGCTAAATTAAAAATCTTCATGAGAGTGTGATGAAATTGATTAAGCAAATCAGAAGAGCAAAAAATATTATTCCAATCTTCCTGATTACATAATTTGATAAACCTATCAAAATTACTTTTACTGAAAATCCTACCCCATCTGGCTGTATGAGATGGATTCTAAAGGGAAAATTCACATAAAATGGGATCATGATCTGATGGAAACTAGGGAATAACTTTGCACACAGCCAGATCTAAATGTATATTGGTACAAAAAATAGAATCCAATATGCTGTTATCTCTATTTGGATCGGTAACCAGCATTCTCATATTAAAACTATTAAGTACATTTGTAATGGTAATAACATGGCTGTGTGATGAATCCAAATGATCAATCTTAAAGTCACCTGTCAAGACAATAAAAGCATTTTGTGGAATTTTTTCAAGCAAGGTTTCCAATCTTTGAAAGAATAACTGAATAATAGACCTAGGGGGTATGTACACAACAATAAGGAAAATATTAAGCTTCTTACTAAAACTAATAGAGAGAATTCAAATTCAGATTCAATGCAAAGCTGGTTAAATTTATTGTAGTAACAAAATTGAATTTATACCAAAACGTTGTATTAATTAAAATTAATGTGCCTCCATGGATTTCAGAAGGTACAAGGTGTTTACAAAGTGCATTTAACCGAAAGTGATAGATTGAAATATTAATGATGATTGGTATTGGCGATAAGATGCGGATAAGACAAGAAGTATGCCGATTTTTCATGAAAGGCACCCAGATCGTACTATCTCACGTACTTTTTTTATTTGAAACATTTTTTCTACGATGTACAGATTTTTGGTAAATATCCAAGTTCCCCTTACGGTATGGTGTTTTAAGGAGAAGCGTGGAGGTATGAGTGAAAAAATTTATTGCATCTTTTTATGGTTCCAAAATTGACATTGTCAGCAAAATTCCGCTTCTTCGTATGATTTTTAAAGATCAAATTACTGACGACTGGACTGCTCTCCAATAGACTTGTATATTTGACATTGCTATATTCATTTATGTCAAAATGATAGCCATTATAGATATATAATACAAGATAGACTGACTGCTGCAATACAATCGCGTTGCCTCAGTGCGACAAAGAGAACTGACGCAAAGCACTCCCTGCATCTCTTTCTAATGGGCCAGGTTTATTGACCACGTGACCGTCTCATGGATTATTTAGGTCACGTGATCGATTAATCTGGTAAATTAGAAAGGGATACAGGAGGGACTGCTTCGCGTTAGTTTCCTCTGTCGCACTGGGGGAACGAGCTGATATTGTAACGTTCAGTCTATCTTGTATTATATGTCTATGGTCAAAATATTACTTATTTAAAGAGCTTATTAGTCACTAAATTTGAAAGAAATATATATATATATATATACAAAATCATTTTTTTTTAAGGTAAATATTAAATTTAAAACTTTTGACCTCCTGTATGTATTTCAATATCTAACCACTTTAGAATTTCGTGTTCTTGTAGCAACAGTCACTAATTAACGAGAGCTTCCTAAAATTCGTTGTCGTTCAAATATAGCAACACCCTGTAGAAAGCAAAATAAGGTAGAGCAGTATAATAGAGTGTTGTTCTAGATCTTTAGCACTATAAAAAGATCAAAATTTGTAGACATATTAACAAAAAATATATTTAAATAGCTTACTGACTTACTTTTTATTATCCCAAAATATCCTTCACTAACACTGCACTTTATACGATATTTCACTCACATTACATTTTTTACTAATATACCTAATATATTTCAATACTAGATACTTCAACTGGTACTTGTTTTGATCACTTTACTAAAAGTAGTTCTGCAAATATTTCGCAAGTATAACTGCTAATCAATAAACAAACACTGTAGATTTCACTTGACGCGATGAATATGTTGTACACGATTGTGGATTCAATAAACCTGCTGACTGCGGTTTGGGGCATGGTAAATGAGATTTCCTTCGTATCTCTGCAAGAACGATAAAGGTGAGCCAAGTTAATACGTGATATGCATCGGATAAAGGAGTTTGTCTTGCGTGATTGTGGTATTTTTGACCAGGCGATGCAACATTCGTCATCAGATGCGTAAGGACGATACGATTGTAACGTAAATACCAGAGAAAATATAAAGAGTTTATGTTCTCATAGCAGAAAAATTAGTATAGCCGGTGATTCATTGTCTAGTTACATTAATTATTGAAACACTACATTACATATATCACACTGTATATATTTTTTATATTCCTAAACACATTGTTTGTTTAGTATAATAACAAAGAGCGTATAAATTAACGTTGAGAATTCAGATCAAGATAGGAACTGATTTATTATAATAGGTAAAAGAAATAATAAATAAGAGTTACTCACAATCAATTTAATTTAACTATCTAGACCAGGGGTCTCCAAACTACGGCCCGAGGGCCACATCCGGCCCGCAGACAGATTTTGTCCGGCCCGCGGACAAAACATACTTGAAAACTCCTTTTAGAGAACAAATATTTTTTATAGCAAATAAAATGTTTGTGATAAGTTGGATAAAGAAACACAGAATGGTAATGAGTAAAGACAAATATAATTTATGCAGTAAATTTAACTTCAGCATACAATAACTAACAAATTATTGAAATGAATCCAACTAACATTTTTTACATTGTAAGTAATGAACAACACATACCTTATAACAAACATGACTTATGAAATGCTAATGAGATGTATGTAATTGAGATTGAGATTTAAGATGCTCGTCAGTTAATTTAGATCTGTATACATTTTTTGTGTACTTCATTTTGGAGAAGGTTTTCTCACACAAATAAGTAGTACCAAAAACGGAAAACAGCCCACGAGCAAATTTATACAAATTATCAAATTGTGTCAGTGGAAGACTCTTATAAAATTCCAACAAAGATGAGTTTTCATATTTGTTCTTAATTATATCACTGCACTGAAGATCAATCATTTCCATTTGAAGTTCCGGGGCTAGGGTTTCAATGTCAGCATCAAAAGGATTCTGAAAAATCTTAATTTGATTCGCAATGGCATCAAAGTCCGAGAAACGAGTATCAAAATTTATCTTCAAAGCACTCAAAGTTTCGATTGCAAAATCGATAGGAAACTCAGTCTCAGTAGTGTGGCTGAATATTTCACATGTTTTAAAATGTGAAAAACATTTACTTCGTAGTTGTGATTGAAACAGTATCAATTTCGTCCGGAATAACTTGATATTAGTGTATAAATCAGGAAGATGCTGGTTTTCTCCTTGCAATCTCAAATTCAGTTCGTTCACATGTTTTGTCAAATCAACATACAATGCTAACTTCCATAGCCATGCGTTGTTTTGTAATTCAGTACGAGGGCGGTGCTTTTCATTCAAAAAAATTTCGATCACTGCTCGAAGTTCAAAAAAGCGCTGAAGGACTTTCCCGCAACTAAGCCAGCGTACGGCAGTATGATAAGGTAAGTCTGTTTCTCCAATCTCTGCAATAAATTGTCGGAATTGTCGGTGATTCAACCCAAAAGATCTGATGAAATTAACAGTTGATATGACTGGTTTCAGAACGTCAGACATATCCAAACATTTTCCGCACAAAGACTGTTGATGAATGATACAATGTAAGACTAATGGTTTTGAGCCGCCGTCATTTTCTACAGCCTTTGACACAAGAGCGACCACTCCTTTATCTTTCCCACTCATGTTTTTGCCTCCATCAGTTGTAATACATTTCAAGTTTTTCCATCGAAGGTTCTTTTTATTAATGGCCATTTCAACTCCTTTAAAAATATCGGTACCAGTAGTTGTGCCATGAATACTATACATATCAAGAAGTTCTTCGTGCACTTCATAGCTTTTATCTACTCCTCTAATATAAATCAACACCTGAGCAGTATCTGACACATCCGTTGACTCATCCAAGGCCAAAGGAAAACCACTCAACATGTCCATTTTTATCGAACAGTTAAGAGGATGTTTTCTACCCTTCGAGCCACAGTGTTTGCTGACATACTGACAGTTTTTAATAAATTTACCTTTTCAGGGCACATTTCTTCGACTACTGCAATTATGCATTCCTTGATCATTTCTCCATCGGTGAATGGTTTTCCACGTTTTGCAATTTCAAGAGCCACACGAAAGCTGGCACGAGTTGCCGCCTCTTGTTCAGTTTTTACTTTTGTAAATAAAGATTGCTGCGATTTCAATCCGCACTTCAAAGCTTCGAATTTTTCTGTCCGCACAATTCCTGTATATTTTGAGTAATTTTGAGAATGTTTTGTTTCATAATGACGTTTCATGTTATATTCTTTAAGAACGGCTATGCTTTCATTGCAAATCAAACATAGCGCCTTGTTACTGGACCCAATTACGAAATACTGAATGTTCCACTGATCTTTGAATTTTCTGCATTCACTATCAATTTTTCGCTTCTTTTCCATTCTACTAAATCACACACAAAAGCAACAATTCAAATCAAATCAAAATACTGTTACACGCACAAACTTGTTTTAAGGAGGTACGCCCTATTTTATTTCACAACAGTTTCATAGAAACTGACTTGTAGTTACGCCACTATTGTCATCGCTTCGTCCTCGCACTCGTCCCACTTAGGTGGGGTCTTTAGTCTCCTCCCAGTTATCAGGTGCGTAACACTCAAGTGATTTGCGGCTATTATTTTTCAGACTTCTTATTATTCCGGATAGTTAAGTGTGTTTGTGACAATTTCTAACGATGGCGTTGAAAAATAGTAGAAAGAATAATTATGTTATTAGTGGACAATCTTGGGAGAGATTGGAGATTTCCACTGGTGGAAATATTTTGTTTGTTTATGTCTACCTTGTATTAAATTAAAATATATCAAAAATAGGTGAATATTTGACATACTTAATAATGTTGACAGCTTACCACACTTACAAAAAATTAAATTATTCGTTATTTTACAAAAAATGATCCACACTTCAGCAAAATTCTATTACACATAAAATACAGAAATATATAAAATATATAAATAATAATAAAATATAAAAAATATATATATAAAATACAGTGTTGCCATCTTGGCCCTCGGAACTTACTGGAGTAATCAGTATGGCCCTAAGGCTGGAAAGTTTGGAGACCCCTGACTAGACGACCGGTTTCGCTCTCTACAATATGCAAAGCATCTTCAGGTCTCGATACAAAGATAATTAAATGATGCCGGTACTCTATTAATTGATGGTTTATTTATAATATTAATTTAATGAACTTTGTATCGAGATCTGAAGATGCTTTGCATATTGTAGAAAGCGAAACCGGTCGTCTAGATAGTTAAATTAAATTGATTGTGAGTAAGTCTTATTTATTATTTCTTTTACCTATTTGAAATGGACTCACACAAGCAACACATTCATGATTTGATTTATTATAGTTTTTAAAAAACATGAAAGTTTTAGATCTTATAAAGAAAATCAGGCCAAAAAAACATTCTAAGTACCTATTGACAAAACAGCTGTACATCCATTTGAAAATGACCTTTGTTCTGTCAAATGGGATAAACAAATATAATTATTTAAAAACTACTTGACCGATTGTACCCATCTTTCGCAAATGTGGTCACTGACATCTGTATAGTAGAGGGAAATGGTAGTATGTCCATCTAACGAAGTTTTAAGATAATCAATAAAAAATAAGATGAATTCCAGAAAATGATTGCAATCATTCTTAATCTGAAGATATATGGAATTATATATTTGTATGATTGTAACATTGTATATTGGTTGAACAAGATTATGCTACTGTGATAAAAAATACATATGTTTATATGTTGGGCAATATTGTGACTAAAGGTCTATTGTCCAGTGCCGGTTTAACACAGTCTGCCGCCCGGTGCTGATAAGGATGCCGCGCCCTGGATCAAAAATATTTCTTAACTTTATTTCAAATCAACAAAACATATTTTAAATACAAGTTTTTTAAAATAAAAACAATTAACTTTTTTGGGTTTCAAACTTAAATAAATACTAACAAAATACAAGAAAAAAATTACGGGCGAACTTCAAAAAGTAAAATAAAAATGTACCTAATAACATTCATACAGGTAACATGAGGTAGGTAATCAAATACCTTTACTATAAAAAGCTTGTTTGCTTGCTTCAGTAAGAAGCGAAGTTTTTGATTATATCATTTACATTTAGTTCATTTAGCAGGTCCTCGTTAATGGATAAAACTGCTAAGAAATTCAAATTTTCTTGGGAAATTGCATCTCTTAAGTAGGTCTTTACCATTTTTAGTGTCAAAAGATAGCGTTCGCCACTTGCATTTGCTTCCATTATGGAAAAAAAAAATACGCAGACAAATATTAACGTTTGTAAACGGAGATATTAAGATATTTTCGTATAAAACATACGACCAGTTCTAAAGGAGTGTCTATTTTTTATTGGGGAAGAGACGTTAACAAATGCTTTAAATAAACACATTTTTGGGAAAAATTCACATCCAAATTCTCCTTGTATTTTGTTATAATTCGGTTGCCGATCTGAAAATATCTTTTTCTTCTGTAGTTTTTAGTTTAACCAATAATATTCAAATGCTTTTGAACAATATTTATAACTATCAGATCGGCGAATAATCTCCGACTTAAGATTGTCTATTATAAAAACGTAACATTGTGTATTTTTTTTTTGCTTAAACTTTCATCCGAACTCTTTTCTCCTAATTGCAATTTTTTTATAATCCTCTTCTCAGCATAATTTTTCTTCCCTGTCGACAACATTCACGACGATCACGTAAGAAATTAAAGTAATCTGCTTAAGATAATAACAGATGAGTGTTGTGCTTAAATCCTTCTTCTTCTTATAGTGCCGTGCACCTATAGTGCGTT